TTCTCAGTTATAAATAACTTCTTCGGAGGGGCCTCTGTGGTTTGGAGCGGGAGGCGGGAAGCTGGCAAGGGGAAAAAACCCCACTTCTCTAGGCTGTTATTTCACTTGGAAAATGAAGATGTCCAGCACAGAGCAAGACGCCCGCCGGCGCCAGCAGCGCCGGGGAATCGCGGCCGGCAGGCGTGGGCACGGCGACTGCGGCTTACTGTTGTAATAGGCAAACTGCAGGTAGTTGAAGTGCGAGGGTAGGAAATCCTCCAGCGGTTTCTCCTGGCCGGGCTGCGAGGCCAGTTCTGTGACGCAGCCCTGCTTGCAGCTGAGCACCTGCATGTAGTGGTCTGGAGGAGGAAAACACCACGTTATCACCCAATGCCTCGGCCGGATGGGACCTCAGGGGTCTCCAGTCCAACCTCTGGGGTCGCCGCCAATGCTAGGTCAGGCTGCGGTGTTTATTCGAGGCTTGGAAACCCCCCGGGGTGGTGACCCCCCACCTCCACGTGAGCTGCCCCAAGGCTGCGGCAGTCTCCGAGGAAGGGATGTTTTCCCGACGTCCAGCCTCAACCACCCCAGCTTGCATCTTGGTGACCACCCGCTGGTCCCTCTCCAGTTTCTCCACATCCCTCTTGAACCAGGGGGACCAAAGAGGTCCCAGCACTCCCAGGCAGCATCTCCAACGTGGAGCAAGGAGGAAAACAGCTCCCGTGGTTTGCTGGCTTAATGTAATACGGGACTTGCCTTCTCTGCGGTGGGAGCTGGCGCTCACTATGACCCTCAAGGAATTAAGAGCATCCAAAAGCCCTTCAGGTGGGACTCTGCAGATATGTTTTCACCTGTCATGGCCTGGAAAAGGTCCGCGTTGTATTCCAAGTAGTTGTAGCCTTCGTAGTCGTACGGCCCCTCGCAGAGAGCGCGGCACTCGGTGTCCGCCACGAAATACTCCTCCAGCGCCTTCTCCAGGTGCAGGATGGCGGCAGCGGGTTGCTCTTCCGTGTAAAACCTGACGCCCAGGCGGAACTCGGTCTGCAGAGAGCCGGCCGGAGAAATGACCCCAGGGGCCTGCTGGTCCCGCTCCCCCACGACGGCCCTTGGCCGACGAAAAAAAGCGGAGCTACCGCGAGCGATGGCCAGGGTGTCCATCCCCATTGGGGAAGGAGGTCCGTGGAAAACCCCTTCTGGAGAAGGAGGCATGAACCCGGGATGGGATCCATGCTCCCGCCCCACTTCTGGCTCCTGGAGACCCGGAGCCCCTTGGCCGCTTTTGCGGCTTATTAGGAACGTTGGCTCGTTTGCGCCCAGCGAGATGCTGGTCGTCGAAGGCCACGGAGGAAACCCGACCCGAGCCCACCGCAAGGATGCTCGCGGGGCGGCGGTCCCATCTCACCAGGTGGGGTCGGGCCTCCAGGTCCGTGAAAT